TCCATTTGACCTAGTTTTTCTATCACATCTATATAAATTTTAATTTGGAATCCAGATTTCACCATCCATGTAATCTTTTGTATGAGTTTCCGTGAATGCCCCAAATATTGAGTTTGACTCTAATAGGAGGCCATTTATTAACTTAACTTAACCTTAATTTATGAACTTAACCCGCCCAAAACCACCCAAGCTTGTCTACTCAAGAACGGCCATCTGCCTGATACCCACCCGAACAACCCAAGACCGCCAAAAAGCCCGCCCACACCCACCCAAGACTGCCAAAAGCCTGCCTAACTGCCTGAACCCACCCAAGCCCACCAAAAAATGCCCACCCAAACCCCACCCAAGCCTGCCCAAAACCCTCCAACCTGCCCACCCACCCACCTGAACCCATCTAAGAACGCCCATCAGCCTAAATCCACCCAAGCCCACCCAAGGGATCGAACCCACCCACCAACCCAAACCCACCCAAGAATGCCCACCCGCCTGAACCCACCCAAGACTGCCCAAAGCCTGCCCACCAGCCCGAACCCACCCAAGCCCGCCTGAAACCACCCAAGAATGCCCAAAGCCTGAACCCACCCAAGCTCGCCTGAAACCATCCAAGAATGCCCAAAGCCTGAACCCACCCAAGCCCGCCCACTCGCACAAACCCACCCATGCTTGCCCAAAAAAGCCCACCCAAAATCACCCAAGCCCACCCAAACCCACCCAAGACCACCCATCTGCCCGAACACACCCAAGAAAAAGCCACTTGAACCCACCCAAGAAGCCACCCAAGCCCACCCACTTTCCCAAACCCACCCAAGTCACCTACTAGCCAGTTAACCATCCAGCCAGCCCACTTGCTTGCCCACCCACCTACCAGCCAGTTAACCAGCCAGCCCACCCACCATCCATCCTGTTGCTCTCCCAAATATGACTAAACTTTTACCGACATTTTAAAACCTCTGGCTTTAGCAGACCTTCGGATTTACCAACCTAGGTACAGCCCCATATAGGTCGTTAAATCGAGTGGATACCATATAGTGCAGCCTAAGGGTTAATACACTCAACATAACTCTCCAACATAACTAACAGTCTCTGTGGTGTAGTGGTAAGACTCTCACCTGGCATTCCGCGAGCGCTATGTCATGGGTTCGTATCCTGGCCGGGGAGGATTTACTGGGCGCAATTCCTTAACTGTAGCCTCTGTTTAACACAACAGTAAAATGTGTACTTGGTTGTAACAACGATTCTTCGCGGCAGGGGATCGTATTCCAGGGACCTGCCCGAAACGCTACGCGCACTAGTGGCTGAACAAGAATGTAACAACTCTTGTATATATCTCAAAAAAAAAAACTGGTTAATAACACCTTGATTAATACACTCACCATCACTGGTTAATAACAAGATTAACACACTTGCCATCACTAGTTCATGACAACATCAAGATTAGTACTCTCACCCTCACTAGTTAATGACAATATAATACAGTGGTACCTCGGTTTAAGAGTTTAATCCGTTCCTGGAGACAGCTCGTATTCCAAAAACTCGTATTCTGAAGCTAATTTCCCCATAAGAAATAATGGGAAATGAATTAATTTGTCCCTGACTACCGCAAAAACCCCACACCAAACTAAATTTTTATACCTAATTCATCTAAATAAACCTACAAAACTATGTTCAAGTTATTACTTACCTTTGTTGTTGAATGCTGTAGGCGTATGGAAGATAGTGAGGAGGTGGGAGGAGGAGAGGTGTTACTGTTTGGAAGGGGAGTCCCCTTCCATTATCACATCAGGCAGTGAGGACCTTTCTGGTGTGCACTCCGTGGCACGTTTTGCCTGAGTACCACTAGGTCCTGGTTGTGGCTCACTGCTCAATTTTCTCACAACAAATCTGTCCATGGAAGCTTGTTTTTCCCTTCTTTGCAAGCTGTCTCTGTAGTAAGGCATCACATTGTCATTGAAAAGATTAAGGCAACAGCCTACTACAACTTTCTCTGGGTGAGTCTTTTCAATAAAAGTTTGAATCTCTTCCCACATCTGACACACCTTCTTAACACTTTCGCGCTCTCGGCGCTCAAAAAAAAACAATACCCCAGATGCTTTCGGCACTTCGCGCGCCTACGCGGTAAGACCGAAAAGTGTACACTCTTTTGACTGTCCTGACAATAATTGAAGGCGCACGTATTTAAATTTGGTATCACTGTGTTCGCAATGAAATTGTCTATAAGAGCATACCTATAAAATGCCGCCCAAGCATAAGGAGTATCAACACCAAATAAAAAACTATGCAGATCACTCGCCGAGAGCGCCAAACAGCAACAAAATGTTTCCACTCTCTTAATGGTTGCGAAGCCTACAGTTGTCCTACATCGCTAATTTTGGTATCATTGGAATCGCAATAAAATTCTCTACACGGACATATGCATATGAATGTTTAATATAGGTAATTGCCCACCCGCAAGAGTGTGTGAAGTGGAGAGTAGTTAGCCGCGAGCGCACTGGCGAAAACACAGGGGGGAAATCATGCTTGGAAAGTTTATACGTTTCCTGACCCTACTTTTCTATGTACGTATTTCTTTTTTATACCAATGTGTTCGCAATAAAATTTTCTATAAGATGAACTGTATAACATTTGTACAAAGCATGTGTAAGAGAAGCGCCAAATATAGAACCACGTCGCTCAGTATGCGTTCGCGGCAGAAACGAACGCATTGTTTTCGTTCGTTTGATGTTTGTCATGTTTATACTTGTTGAAACATTTTATAATTTGTATGACAGTGATCGCAGTAAAATTCCCTACACAGACATATACATAACACATACAAATATTTCCCACGTGTTGGATATATCAACGGCTAAAGGGAACCCACTGCCACACGCTCGCCACACCCCCAAACATACTTTGTGTATTTTTTTTTTTTACTCATAGAAGTTTGTGATATAATATTCATTCTGGTACCAAAAAATTCGCAAATAAATTCTCTACAAAACAAAAGTATTTTTGGTTAAAAAATTTCGGTTAAAAAATGGAATTTATAGAAATATTTTTTCGATGGACGAGAAAAGTAGGCTGTTATGCGGAATCGTAAGAAAAAACGGCGACAAGTTATCTCTAATCTAAAGCGCGAAAGTGTTAATTTCTCCAGAAGGGACATTCGCTACTGCCTCATCCTCCTCCACTGGAGAATCATCAGCTGTGTCGCCTTGCTGTTCCTTTTGAAGGGCTTGGAGTTCTTCGGTGGTCAGTTCTTCGTTGTGTTCTTCCACCAACTCCTCCACATCATCACCATCCAATTCCAAGCCCATTTGCCAGCCCAGAGAAACAATTTCCTCAACAATAGGCACATCATTTACAGGCTCAAACCCCTCAAAGTCTAGTTCTTTCACACATTCAGGCCACACTTTTCTCCAGCCAGAGATCAGGGTTCTTTGAGTCACTTCTTGCTAGGCTTTGTCAATGAGTTTTAAAGCACTACAAAAGTTAAAATGGTGTTTCCAGAACTCTTTGAGAGTGAGGTTTGTGGCTTTAATCACTTCAAAACATTTCTGGAAAAGTGCCCTTTCATACAGTTTCTTAAAATTCGCTATGATTTTCTGGTCCATAGGCTGAATTAGAGGAGTGGTGTTAGGAGGAAGGAACTTTATTGTGAGAAATTTACTGTATCTGTGCATCAATTCATCTTCCAAGCCTGGAGGATGAGCAGGAGCATTGTCGAAGAGAAGCACAGCCTTGAGTGGCAAATTTTTCTCCTGCAGATATTTTTCTATGGTAGGGCACAGCACTTCATTCACCCACTCCGAAAAAATAAGCCTAGTCACTCATGCACTAGTCACCCATGCTTTTTTATTAGGCTTCCACATCCCACACATTTGGGTTTTCTGCACTTTATAGTGTTTGAAAGCCCTTGGATTTTCAGAATGATACACTAGCAAGGGTTTAATTTTCAAATCGCCACTCGCATTTGAACATAGCACAAGTGTAAACCTATCTTTCATAGGCTTGTGTCCGGGCAAGAATTTTTCCTCCTTGGTAATGTATGTCCTCTTAGACATTCTTTTCCAAAACAGTCCTGTTTCGTCACAATTAAAATAAATCATTCAGCGGCTGGTTTGTCTGAGCTGGCTGCCTCTCCATGCCTCGCAACACTATGGATACCACTTCTTTTTCTAACCAGCCCCTGCTTGCCTTAAACTCTTTCGTATCTGCATCACTCGTTCCAGAAGTTTTCTTTACAAGGTCTTCGTGCAATACCCTGGCTTTCTCACAAATGATGACCTCCGAAACACTATCACCCCTCAATTCCTTGTCGTGTATCCAAATTAATAACAACTTTTCCACTTCTTCAAGTATTTGTGGTCTTTGTTTCGTGATTGTTCTTACGCCTTTTGCCACTTTAGCACTCATAATCTCATTTTTCTTCTTAAGTATAGTGCATATTGTTGATGTGGCTTTGTTGTACTGCCTACAAAGTTCAACAACACGTGTACCATTTTCATGCTTCCGAATGATCTCTTGTTTCTCCTCTATTGTCATCCTCACATGGGCTTTCTTGCCTTGATCCTTACCACTGGCTTTCTTGGGACCCATAGTGAGATATATAACAACAACTTTTATGGTCAAATGACCAAAAATCCAACAAAACACTGAAAATCCGGGTGAAGAATTGACGTGGGATAGTCACTGGGCGCGAGGCACTGGTAAACTGAGGGGCGGAGGGGCGACGATCGCTAGGTCGGCCTAAATGAGTATCAACAAACTCGCGTTCCGAGGTAACCCCTCGCCTTCCGAGGCACATTTTCCGAGGAAATCCGGCTCGTATTCCGAAAAACTCGTATACAGGGACACTCGTATTACTTACTCAAATTACGTAAATTACTCGTATTCTGAGGTACCACTGTACACTATCACTAGTTAATGACAACATCATGATTAATATGCTCACCATCACTGGTTAATGACAACATGATACACACACACTGGTAGTACAGTAAAAATAAAATTGTCCTTACCATCATTAATGGGCAGAAGTTGTGTGTGTTATCGTCCTTGGTAGCTGAGCAGACTGGAAGCAGAATAACCTATTATGGAAAAATAAAACAAATTAGAGGTTTCTATGATTAAATTTTTCCCACCAAAACACAGTAAATGTTTAGAAAAATAGAATAATTTTTTTTAGGTATGGTAGCCTAGTGTTTAGGTATTGTGCTTTGAGCAGAAGGAGGGTGAGCAAGTTTAACCCTTAAACCGCGCAAATCATATATATATATGATATCAGTGACAAAACCGAAACTGCGCACATCATATATATATGATTTTGTGTCTAGCGCTATAATTTAAACGCCCCTCCTGGGATACGGGCAGCTATAGGACAGCCACGACCGATAGTTGCCAGATGCCACCACAAAAAAAAATCCAGGCCAACATTCTTGGGTGTTTGAGCGTCAGTATTGAGCAAGCCATCAAGGCTGGCGCACGCAGCACGAGCTCACAGCACCGCTGTTCAGCTTGTGACCACAGCATTGCCTACAAATGCCATAATATATATGATACTGCTATTATTTAGCAGTGATAGTATTACTGAAGCCCCCTGACTGTGATAAAACTGACCAGGATTCTGATAATAGCAGGATTGTGGTGATATTTAGCCCTGTGTTCCATGGAGGGAGGAGTAAGGCTGTGGAGGGAGGGTTGTGGCGTCGTCTTTTGACTGTGTGTGGCCACCTTTTATTGACTGCACTCACCATACCAGCTTAGTGGTTCGCACTGGTGAACACACATGTAGATACTTATATATAACGTGTGTATAGTGTGAGATAACAGCGAGAGGAGTAGGTTGGGAGTCGCCATTTTGGTGAGGGAGAAGCGTCGTCTGCACGACTTGGCATGTTGTTTACTGATGGCCACTATGGTCTTTGGGCACCATACCAGCTTATTTGTACAGGTATGGTGAATAAAACAGGTAGATACTTATATGTAATGTGTGTATATAGCGTAATAACACCACAAACACTGTTGTTGGAGGAGAAATATTAGTGCATCTGGCCTTGAGGGCGGCTGCCGATCAGCTGACTATGTGAGTAGCTACGTCTCTGTGCCTTTACTCCCCATACAAGCTTAGATGTACAGTTATGGTGAACAAAACATGTAAATACGTATATATAACGTCTGTGTATAGTGAATAAATGCAAAAACAGTATTGTGGGAGGAGAATGAGGGCGAGTGAGGAGGTGTTGAGGGAGGGAGTGGCAGTGAGTGGCTCGCTGGTGTTTGGCGGTCACTCCTCGTTGCTTTTTGACTCACAATACCAACTTAGTAGTTTGTTATGGTAAACAAAACATGCAGATACTTATATATAACCTGTGTATATAATGTAACAACAGCAAAACTATTTGTTTATTGTTTTATGAACATAATAATTGAATCACTAATATGCACACCATAACTTTGAGTACAGCGATGGTTCACACATTTTATTAAATAAATATACCACAATTCACTGTATGGAATAATATTACTGCAAAAAAACTAAGAAAAAATAAATCAGAGACATTGAAATAATTAGGTAATAATATATTTGTGGCAACTGCCGTCTGAGAGCTCGGGCGGAGTAGACCTCGTCTGGAGAAGGCTCTGCCAACGCCCCTTTTTTGCCACACTTCCCTATCCTATTGCGGCTAAAATATGCCACCTACGATTTTTTTGTTATTTTTTCCGTGATCAGGGAACAAAAATGAACACTTCTATAAGACGAAAGAATTTTTTTTATTTTTTTTTTTTTGTTGCGCCTGTGGGTGTGAATTCCATTTGGGCCCCTAGCGGTTTGAGGGTTAAGGAGGATGGGCGGGAGTAAGGAGGGTGGGCGGGAGTAAGGAGGGTAGGCGGGAGTAACCATAGCACTTGATCTAGCACCAAAAATCTATATACCTTAAGACGCATAAGAGCGCCTTGAGGCGATAGATCATGGGTGCCCAGAGTGCCACCTGGCGCTCGTAGGTATAGCATAGGATTCAAAACTGGCACACAGAGACTCGGGTACGAAATGAATACATAAGGCCTCGAGTGATCGTCCGCCATTTTGAAAAAAAAATCACAGCGTGCCCCACGGTTGTGGGGAGCCTCAGTTTCAAGGTAGTAACGATGTCTGACGCATCATCTACAAGCTTCAGGTCCAAGGTCAACTGCGGTGCTACAAAACGACTCTCAAAGGACAAAATATGTGACATATTGTTTGATGATTTATCGATTAGTGATGATTTAGACTACAATACAGATAAAGACCTAACACAGGGAGGTCTGACATGAGTGACGGGGAAAATGCAGTTGACGATGTCAAGTGTGTGTACAGTATAAGCGCCTTGCCCGGCCTCCCATGCTGCCTTGGGTCAACACAACTGGAGTTACCATCACCATCTGTGTCACCTGACATGAGTCTACTTTGGTGATAGCACATGTGGCGAATCATTTTCTGCATTCAGTGACATAAGCTCAAGTTACAAGCAGTGTTGATAACCCGAGTAAAAGTGACTATGGTGTTACTAGGCGGAGTTTTGCTGCCCCAGCCCCTCGCCGAGGCAAGCGCCAGTATGTCACGTCGCCTGAGGACAATGCCAAGAATGCGCCCTCGGCATCAGGTGTTCATGGTAGGCCTATACTATGCAAAACAGCCTCATCTCCTGGCATACTCCAGATGGAGCTCCAGCTCAAGATGACGGAGCCTTCGTGTTGGCACCCGTGCTGGTGGTGCTCATGCTTATGTTGGCCGTGGTGTTAGCGCCAAAACCAAAAACACGGGTGTATTAGTGTGGCAGGATTGTGAGAATTTTGTCCCACAAATTCTAGCAATTGATGACACCGATGTTGGTGTGACACCATTATTTACTTATACTGGTGATGATATGCCTGAAATTTATTATTTTATGACATATTTCAATCAGTCATTCATCTCATTGCAGAGACGAACCGATATGCTCTGGAACTCATCGACTCTGGAATTTTACCTGCCTCTTGATTGACACATTGGAAAGACATGACTATTGAGGAAATGTACGTGTTTTTAGCACTGTGCATGATGATGAGGCATGCAAATAAACACATGATCCAGGATTATTAGAACGAAGATAGCCATGTTTCAACTCCCTTGTTCAACAAGTACATGTCACGTGATAGGTTCCTGCTGCTTTTCAGGTGCCTGTACTTTGAGAACAATGCTAATGAAGACAGACACAACACTGTGGAAAGTGCAGAAGATATTTTGTGAATTGAGAGGAAAGTTTTGTGACTATTTTGTACTAGCACAGAATGTATTGATAGATGAATCTCTTTTTCTCTTCAAGGGATAACTGGCGTTCAAGCAGTACATACCATCAAAGCGGCACAGGTTTGGAATAAATTTCTTCGTGTTATGTGACTGCAAAACTGGTATGGTCATAGACATGATATTGTATTCAGGTTCAGTGACATACCAGGTCAAGATCCACATGGGGTCTCATGCAGTGTTGTGAAAACTCTTATGCAACCATTGCTGAATAAAAGAGCATATCCTGTACACGGACAACTACTATACCAGCCCCTTGCTGACCAGATTCCTCCTTGACCACAACACTGGTGTATGTGGCACTGTCAAGGCCAGTAATATCAAGTGAACAAATTACATACAAAATTAAGTCCGTTGCGTGTAAATGAGGGCCATTCCCGGTAGACCCACCCCGAGTACCTACTGTGTGTGTGTGTATTCACCTTGTTGTGTTTGCGGGGGTTGAGCTTTACTCTTTCGGCCTTCCTCTCAACTGTTTACTAACTACTTTTTTTTCCACACCACACACACACACCCCAGGAAGCAGCCCGTGACAGCTGACTAACACCCAGGTACCTATTTACTGCTAGGTAACAGGGGCATTCAGGGTGAAAGAAACTTTACCCATTTGTTTCTGCCTCGTGCGGGAATCGAACCCGCGCCACAGAATTACGAGTCCTGCGCGCTATCCACCAGGCTACGAGGCCCCCCTAAGGTGTGTACTCACCTTGAGATGATTTCGGGGCTTCCTAATTGTGCTTGCGGGGGTTGAGCTCTGGCTCTTTGGGCCCGCCTCTCAACTGTCAGTCAATTGATGTACAGATTCCTGAGCCTACTGGGCTCTATCATATCTACATTTGAAACTGTGTATGGAGTCAGCCTCCACCACATCACTGCCTAATGCATTCCATCTGTTAACTACTCTGACACTGAAAAAGTTCTTTCTAACGTCCCTGTGGCTCATTTGGGTACTCAGTTTCCACCTGTGTCCCCTTGTTCGCGTACCACCCGTGTTAAACAGTTTATCTTTATCTACCCTGTCAATTCCTCTGAGAATTTTGTAGGTAGTGATCATGTCTCCCCTTACTCTTCTGTCTTCTAGTGTCGTGAGGTGCATTTCTCGCAGCCTTTCTTCGTAACTCATGCCTCTTAGTTCTGGGACTAGCCTAGTGGCATATCTCTGAACTTTTTCAAGCTTCGCCTTGTGCTTGACCAGGTACGGGCTCCATGCTGGGGCCGCATACTCCAGGATTGGTCTTACATATGTGGTATACAAGGTTCTGAATGATTCCTTACACAGGTTCCTGAAGGCAGTTCTGATGTTAGCGAGCCTCGCATACGCCGCAGATGTTATTCTTTTGATGTGGGCTTCAGGAGACAGGGTTGGTGTGATATCAACTCCTAGATCCTTCTCTCTGTCCGTTTCATGAAGGACTTCATCTCCCATTCTATATCCTGTGTCTGGCCTCCTGTTTCCACTGCCTAGTTTCATTACCTTACATTTACTCGGGTTGAACTTTAGTAGCCATTTGTTGGACCATTCATGCAGTCTGTCTAGGTCATCTTGTAGTCTCATACTGTCTTCCTCCGTCTTAATCCTCCTCATAATTTTTGCATCATCAGCAAACAATGAGAGGAATGATTCTATACCATCTGGAAGATCATTTACATATATAAGAAACAGTATGGGTCCAAGGACTGAACCCTGCGGGACCCCACTGGTGACGTCTCGCCAATCTGAGACCTCACCCCGCACAGTGACTCGCTGCCTTCTGTTACTTAGG